TTCTTTCATTATTGTCGTAGAAATATATAGTGTTTAATTGTTCAGTCCGTCACGCGATTAATAAGTAGTTCTGGATTATGGACCTTTGGATTTAAGGATGGTTGCAATGAACTGCAGGTTCAAGTTTTGAAGAAAAACATGAATCCTTGATTCTACGCAAGAATCCACGTCGACGCAGCAATTATAGTTATTGACTGTTGTTAAGCCCTACCTTGATTGCAAAATGATAAAACCTATCACTGAAGTTGTTATGATAGCATATTTGTGGCACTACGATTTATTTGCGAAAAAAAGTCCCAGGGTGAAGTTTGCCATTGCTGCTTTACGCATGTTTGAATTACAGCGTGGAAATATTTTATTTGTCCTAGAAACTAAGGAAATCAAAATATCTCATAAACCGTTCGGGCTGGTTTGACTGATGTACACAAGCTGCTTTTCAGTTATATGATATCTTTAATTTGAAAAGGTCAGCGTATGTGATCGAAATCAAAGGCTGTTTTTGAGGAGATTCTCGGCCACAAAGACTTTCAGAGACCATATTCTTTTACTGTGATTCCTTCACACCCCCGGGGGTGATAAGGGATCCCAGTAAAAGAATATGGTGAGTCTTCGAGAATATGCAGTGATGAAGTTGAGCACGCATATCTCAAGAATTAGCGAGGTTTCTCAAGTATGGAACTCTTAAGCAAACTTAGTCACCTCGGTATTTGCACAATTTTGATCTGTGTTTCAGATATGTAAATCATTCCACTCTCATGCCCGTTTTAATGCATTTTGTTTATTTCCATTTTTTTCTGCCAGATGTATATCAAAAGTTAGTGTATGAATTCATCTTTTTTGTCCGTATCTGCGACGATGGATGAATCGCCTATAGCGCTTAGCCACCACTGTTCGAAATTGGCGCTAGTGCTATATCTGACTCCCTATTCGCTTTTGGCGCAAAGTTCACGTCCCAATTCTTAGGTCGATTTTCGTCAATTCTATCCAATCAAATTACAGTGGGAAAGTCCCTTTCGTGGACTTGCCCAGGCATGCCCCAAAATGCGCAGGTATTGTGCCATGATAAATATGGTCTAAATCTCTTCGAAATTCTCAGATTGTTTCCCACTATGCGTTAAAACCATTAAACACTAGATGTTTTTAAATTGTTGGAATTGTTACTTTATCACTCGCGTTGTTCTCGACTAAAATTTGGCTCATTTTAAACGTGTTTCACTTAGCAATAGACTTATCACTGAGCCAGCTTTAAACTGAAGCCAGTGAACCGCAAAATGCAAGCTTTCAGCTCATAGACTGTTGGTATTTCGTTTGTACGCAGACCGTTATGCAATCGTCGAATTTAATTTTCAAGAGCCGATATGTTAAATTAACGAGACAGTGATGAAAGTGAATGGACGGTGAATCTAGAAGTCTTCCAGCTGGAAAATTGTTGGCCGAGACGTTGTTCATAGAGACAATTCGTTGATAGAATAGAAACTCATTAACTCGTTGATAGAATAGATACTCATATCATTACCTCGTGCTAGGGCCTGTCACATAAATATACCGCTACTGTAGGATACCATGTTCAGTCTGATTTGGAGCCTCTGTCATTTTCATGATGCACGTGTCTTTCAGAACACAAGAAAGTCAACTCGAATTTGAGCCGCTCAAATTTTGCTTTGAGGTTCACAACATGATCCAAGTCGTTGAAAGAGCTGCAGTTAGAATTAAGGTGAAGTTTACGGAGCGCCACCACTGCTTTTGAACTATTTTTGTTTTGTTTATGAAGACTGGCAGACCGTGAGATACTGCGGAGTAGTACGCTCGCCAATTTATTATAATTATCTTTGAAGTTGTTCGCAATTGCTCATGGATACAAGTGCTTTTGTATTTTCTGTTTGAACGAGATGTTTCTAGAAAGTCCTTTTGAAGTGAGGCAAGACTCTCAACTAACATCTATCTTTTGTGGAATTATTTCCGTCAACGAATATATATATCTAAATTGTTAAACCTTGGCCTGATCGGGACAGTTCAAAAAAGGTTAAGAAATTGTATGATAGAATACAAGAACAAAATGCTGACATACCTAAGTTTCCTTTAAAAAACTTTAAAATCTTTCCTAAGCCGCCGCACTCAGATACATTTCCTGAAAGAAGCGACAACCGGAAATATTTCTGCGTAAGAAGGCTACATTCTCAAGAAATTCAATTCGATCCGTTGATCAATTTTTTCAGCGTAAATCTTCTACAGCAAAAAAGAGAAAAGTTTGCAGGCAGCCAGCCAACGTGGATGGCAAGATTACGTTGAAAAAGCAAAGCTTCTTTTCTCGCCCGCGTGCTTTTTGCTCTTGTGAGTACAACTTGCTTCCGAAATCTCGCATGTACCAACATTCTTACAAGCAAAAAAAATGACTCTAATGCACTCATTACACGCGCATGAATTGTTCTTTTTACTCAATCTCAATTCTAGTGGGGCATTTCTCTCTCGTTTGTTTCATGTCTTGACTACCTGGAACTGAATCGTATCACTGCTAGGGTCACATAGATTATGTTTGAAAATTTTGAGTATTATACTTTTGAGCGTCACCTTTGAAAAAAAAAAGCATTTGAGAAAAAAATTATGCCAAAAATTTTCATTATGTGCAATTAAATTTGGAAAAATTCGAGGGGTACGATTTACGCCGTAACGGTCTCCGTTACTTTCCGAGATTGTGCGACAAACATCGGATTGTAAACAAATCAAACTTATAACTATCAGAGCGTTCTAACTCCGTGGCAACGTAACTATTCCACTCCGTGTTGGAGGCATGTGCAGCCATACGTGAAAAAAATTAATGATAAAAAAGGAAATTCTACGTGCTCACATCAGCGCCTCGGTGATATTTAAGCATGCGGATAAAATCTTGAAGTCAACCTAAGTGGCAAACAAAAATTCTGCTGGTTGGTTTTTAGAGCCGACTCATTTGAGCCAAAAATAAATAATAATAACAGCTTTTTATTGAAAAAATGCAGCCTTTTACAATCAAGCCCCGTGAGGCCTTTTCAATTTAGAGCTGAAAACTACCTCGCACATCATCTCGGCTTTCGGATAATGATCGAGCTTTACGGCAGGGTAACAAAAATGAATTTTCTGAAAGGAAGACTTCTTCGCGCGTTCTGCTTTCGCTTAAGCTAGATCTGGAAGGACTAATTTCAAATAGTATGAATAAGTGAATTTTTAGGTCGCGTCACATTTTCCCAGATTCTGCACTAGTTCCCAGTTTACAGGTTTGTAGGTCAACCTGCCCATGTACAGTAACTGCGCATGTCCTAAGCCTGCGTGTGTTCTGGAAATGGTTGAAGTAAGTGAACAAAGTAGTAAGGTAAGATAAACAGAGAAAATATGTGCGTTGTTCTTACAATGGAAACTGATGCCTGTAGATTTTGGCTCTAACGTGTATTAGGTTCAACGTTTCTAGCGGGTCTGTTGTTTGTGTGGCTCGAGCTAGCAGTCTTCGTAGCCATCTCTCCTGATGAATCGTCGACACGTTTTCACGTGCATATTATGGTTTTAACGGCTGCAAACGACGTTGAACTTCTACTTTCTTCAAATTTAAACACGCGTAGACCAAAACGTTTTGTTCTTAATTTAATGTAGCAATCGAGACCCTCTCTCTCGTCTTATACTTTGATTCCTCATTGATCAACTCTTCTGTCAGCATAATTTTCTAATACACGCATGATAAATTAAGTAATTTGAACTGTAAAACTTGTGGAAAGTGTAGATTTTACGGTTTGTAGGTCAAAGTAGTCCGCCACTGAGATACAAGTCACTTAAACTGTCCGTAGATATTTACATGTAGACATCAAAGGAAAAGAGTAGTAAAATTGACCTAACAAGGAAAGGAGGTGGACCAGTAAAACACATTATCACACATCCGGCAGCATGCGTGGGTAGTGTGAAGCGAATTCAATGTACTGATTGGCTATCCAAGTGGTCAAAATGGGCTCATTTTGCACGCTTGAGATCAGCTGTTTTGATCCCACATAAGAAATGATGGCTTGGAGGGGACTTAAAAGTTCATAATTTTTTACTATGATGATAATTGACTTGCAAAAATGGGAAGAACAAAGAGAGCAAAGAAAATATTAAATGACTCTCATGGGTTTATAGCTCTACAAACACTGTTTGATTTCTTTTTTTCTGGCTCTCGAGATACAGCAGTCATTCTCGATTCTTATTATGCTGACTTTGTCTCTTAATAAAAATGCAAAAATAGAATGCAGCCAAAATCCAACCATCCTGACCTCATGCTTGGTCAATAATGCATATTTATCATATCACTAGCAGTACCTGTGCCAGTGATATGAGGCTTCCAAAATAGAACTTCATCTTATGTTTATTTTTGAAATCTAAATTGCACCAGTCAAAGATAGATTAGGTATTCAATTGTAGCCATGAAAATCCACAATGGGCCTAGATACAAAAATCTAGAAAATCTCCAAACAATGTGTGAAATCTCCTTTTTTATCTCCAAAAATCTTGAAATTTTTCCTACAAATTCCAGATGTCTCAATTTTTTTTAATAATCAGATAATTTTCATTAAATGCCAGATTCCCCCTAGTGAAATCACATGGAAGCACCTTTAAACTGATTCTAAATCATTTATTTACCAGACAAAGGAAGTGATTTGTTAGCTTTGTCTCCTTACATAATTCTCCTTAAAACAAACAGTAACAACATTTAACAGTTAGCACAGAGGCCCTTCAGCGATGCTGAAAAGCCTTGTAGTAGTAATTATGTGGAAGGAGCATGCTTGGAAACAGTGAAAGAACAATGAAGAAGCTGTTATGAAACACATACATTTGTTTTCATGTAATCTTTTGGACATTATTATCTAGAAATGTGTTCTAAAACTCCTCAGATTCTCTAAAAAAGCCAGTTTGGCTCTGAAAATCATAAGGAAAATCCAAATTTTTGTATATAGCTTTAATCCACAACTTTTGTTGAAGTACTATAGGAAGTACTAAGTTGATAAGGAGTTTTGAAGGATTTTGGGAGGTTTGAAAATAGTTTTTCAAATAGCAGTTTAAGTAAAATTATGTAGATTTTTTCCATATGTGAAAGTGTTATACTGTGGCCTATGCAGACAAACAGTATAAATTTATAAACAAAGTATCATGGAAATAATTTTTCTTTTCTCTTTGTGTGTCACTCATGATTTTACTAGTTGAAAAATAAACTTTGGTTTGTTTGTTTTGATTACAACTTGATCACCGAATTTTTTATAAATTTGAAATTACTTCTGTTATTTTTTATTTCAAATATTTTATTTTTGACCTTTTGTATCTCCATATAAGTTTGAATCTGTCACCCTATGGAGAGATGTCTCTTTAAAACCCTTTCACACCCAAAGAATGCATTAGCAATTATCCTTACTGTCTGCAATACAATTCTTTACAGGTAGTAGTAGTTCTAAGAATTTTTACTGGTGGATCAGATAATATCCTCTAGTTGATATTTGCTTTTATTCTCCTAACCTAGCAGCTTGATAATGTGTTGATAGTGTAGGGAGAAATTACTTCTTAGTCACTCCTGGGAGTGAAAGGATTTCAAAGGATATCTGATTTGAATAATTGTTTGTTCCGGATGGAAGACAGAATTGTTTGGATAAAATTGTCTAGGTGCATTTGTATTAGTGAATCTTCTCCTAACTTATCACTTCATATTCAAGTCACACAGTTCACAGTTCTCTATGTCACACAAATCACCATTCTTTGTGTCACACAATTCTGGTGTCTGTGCAACACAATTCTGTCGAGTGTTCATGCATGTCACAATTCTTTTAATCATTTTGAAAAGAAACTGTTCAGTCACAAGAGAAAAGACATTTATTCCATTCTGTAATGAACTATGACCATACTGATAGATTTACTGTCTTTTCAGCCCTAAGAATTACCTGCATGATACAAGAATTAACTTTCTTTGTGCTGATGAATACATGTATCCTATGAGGATATTCGCTGGACAAAGTCCTTGAAAAAGTTTGAAAGCTTTTCTTAAAACAGTGATTAGCATCTCCAACTCCAGTTTTTGTTTGGATTGTGTTTTTTTTACAGTCAAGAGAAACCATAATACTGTAGTTCTAAATCTGATTACAGAGATCTCACCGGTGACTGGTCATACGGTAAAGGATGGATTTAACCTAAGAAAGTTCTTGGGAGTTGTAAGGAAACTTATTTGTCAGAAAATTTAAATGATTCATGTCTAATACATGTACATTTGATGTTTTTCAAAAACCATACATTGTATACAATATTTTGGATAGTGGTGAGGTAAACCAATATTAAGTGCAAAACAAAACTAATTACTCTGAAGTAACGGATTTACAAACGTACATTCTAGGGTTTTTAGCTTTTCCAACTGAATCTACATGTGCTATGTTTGAAATACACTAAAACTAATTATTTCAAGTTCTTGTAATGTTGGGATCTTGAACTTTCAAAGTTCTTCAGCACCCTGTGTATTAAGTTTAAGAAGGAACTAAGGTTGGATAGAAAGCATTGGGTGGTAGCCTTAATCAGATCTATTCAGATTTTGGATTTTATTGCTACTGTTAGGAATTTCTATTGCCATTAAGCTATACTTTTCAACAAATGTACATGTTTAGTGACCTAATGTTCATGTACATGATTGCATCTTGTGCCATATCTTTAAAAAGAGAAGAATACTGTGAGCCATATAAGACTCGAGAGTACATTTTATGTGCTGTGTATGCTATTATTCCCACATGTGGTGTTAAACATTCTAATATTTTAAAAGGTAAACTTTTAAATGTACTTTCTACACATATCTAACATATTTAACATGAAGACATTTTAACCCTTTCACTGCCAAGAGTATATTTGTCCTTACAATGTCATTACATCTCCCAACAGAGGGAAGATGAGACATGGGAAAAATTACATATATCATCTTGGGGACTTTGTTTCACTCCATACTTAATTCTTAGATGTACTTAAGTATAAGAGAAAACAAGGCTAACATTCTAGAGAATTGATGACTAGATCTTGAGAATGAAACAGTTAATGAAGATTTACCGCTCATAAACTTCATGTTTTTTTTTTTTAGAAAAAAAAAAGACACACGGAAACTATCATTATCAATCTGCCTTGTTATTAAAGCTGCATTTTGAGTAGTTTCAGAAAACTGTTAAGCTCAATATTCTAAACTCAGAGGTCAATTTTGTACATTACCTGTATTTAAGAGTGAAAGAAAAATTTGAATAACTCACCATTGCAACTGATGAATCCATAAGCCAAGAAGGTTGTACAGGTATGGTTTCCATTTCTCCTTGGGAACGCATCTGTTGGCTTTCAAAGATGACTTGTGCCAACATTCTGCTGTCAATAAATTCATGAGTTAAGGATAATGACGTAGTAATGAATTTGGTCCTGCCCTCTAATATTTGAATATCTGCAGCTTCTGTGATTGTATAACTTGAATTGTGCAAGAAAATTGTGTCAAGCACTCTGTATGATTGCTAATAATCATAAATTGTACTGTACCTTGTTTGCATTGAAGGTGTGTCATCAGGCACCTGTAAAATAAAATGTAATTCAGCTTTGAATTAAGAAGACATGTTATCTGCTGCAGCCATAAAGGAACACTTAACCCTTTAGCTCCCAGAAACCATTAATAGGTGGAAGAAGTTATCTTGATTAAACACCAAAATCTTATAACAAATTTACAAAGAAATGTGTAGCAGCCGGAGAGGAGAATTAGCAATCAGATCTTGGGAGTTAAAGGGGTTAAAGTTTAAGTTGATAAAACAAAGGAAAAAAATCATGAGATTTATCACCTCATAGCTAATACACTTTTTAACCTGAACTCTTGTAATAATATTATATTATGTAGATATTATCAAAAAGTATTATCTACACTCATACATAACACATTTGCATTTAGCTTCAATTTTGACAACCCAGCAATATTCTTGGATTATTTTTTATCTTGGTATCTAACTTGCATACTTATGTAATATCTTATTATGGGGCCCCCATGTCATCAGCTTTATTACTCTAATGTGCTTTTCATGTGATGGGAAGACTAATTTTTCTTGTATCCCTTCCCAAGTGGTGTGAAATATGTATCTTGTTGACAATCTGCATAGTAGAAATGTGTCCTGATACATGAGGCTGATTGGGGAAAATGTGATGCCTATTTGTTGTGAGGGCATGTACATGTACAAAAGTTTGGCCAAGGAGGGGAAAAATTCATATTTTAGTCAGAGGTAGACTTAAATTTGTAACCTGGCACTTAAAAGGGAAGTTTAATTTTTAAAAGATTCTTCATACCTCCAGGTCCAATATCAGAAACTGAGAGAATGTGTCAATCAGATCATCCCTAAAATGAATTAAGCAGGGCAGAGGTAAGTTCATGCCTCAGTTTGTTTACAGTTAACTGTTTACATTAAACTTGGTTTCTAAGTGTGATATCCCATGCATGCATGCATACATGCATGCATGAAAATAAATCAACATATTTTCATGATAAACAGTGTGAGAGCATAGACTTGTCCATGTCATGTGTTAGAGGTAAGAGATGAATAATTCTTGCAAGCAAGATAAACATTTGTTATTTGAAGGACAATCTGGGATGCTTTAGACTGCACATATGTACTCATTGTTTGCAACTATAAGATTATCAATACATATACAGTGTGTATACAGTCATGGCTATCATGATTATAAATACTAGATCTGGAAACAATTCAAAGGTAACAGTTTAAAATGCAAGTATAAGTGATTTCTCTCAAGGGGGACATAAAGGGGATTATAGATTGACATAGTTTTGCTTCTGGAATGTGTAAATTGAACGAAGAGTTTTTCAACTTACCGATCTGTGCCCATAAATCTGTCCTGCTCCTGAAAAACAAACAGTTGCACTATTCATCAATGCATAGCAACGAGTGGAATAGAAGACAGAGTTTGCTTGAAATATGTGAGATTTATTGGAAAATTCATTTTACCTTTAACTACAACTTATCACTGTCGTTAGCAAGGGTATTCTCGATACACACTGATCGTTACTGCATTTAGTGCTTACAGCTGTATGACATACCCTTCTTTAAATTACTGATTGCCACTTAAGGTTGAAGTAGTTATTCAGCCATATCCTCTTTGACCCTCTACATAATTAATATCCGAATCGCAGAAGGATCTTGGAATCTTGGAGTTCTACAGTTAGGTCATACTATCATTTTTGTCCGTGACAGCTGATGATAGGTTTTGAATTTATCGACGTGAAAGTTGAACGGTTTTTCCGAAAAGGCACTTCATCACGATGTAAGAGAAGGCGAAAGCGAGCAAAAGTAACAGGAAATAAAACGACTGCCTTTTGAGCTTAAATGAAATCCTCCGAAATTTTAGACCTTGTACAGTAACATTTACACACCCGGCTGCATAAATTGCATGCTGCTAGTATGCTTCATGGCAAACGATGAGATTTCACAAGACTGAAGTCACTTTGTTTAAACGTTCATGAAGATGGCTTTAGTTGGCACCACACAGCGAGTTTCTATGAACTTGAACAGGTATAGTAAGAACGAATTGTTGTTGAATTGAACTAGCTTTGGAGATTCATGAACGTGCATGAATGTTGAAATAGTACCTTTTTGGAATGAAAAACAGACTTTTTACTGAAGTAGCTCTAAAGTATCGGTATTGGGTTAGATTAGAAGATGCTTAGAATTAAGGATAGCATTAAAGTGATAATCATCGTGCTGTATAGCAGTAGGACAGTTAGAGATAGATAGCTTTGCCTTTAAATGTTCACACATGGTACTTACGTTTGCGTTGTTGTTGGCCATTATTCTTGCTCCTTGGAAAACTCTATGGTATAACTATAGAAGAGTTGATGGTGCAGTTAGTTTATACAAATTCCTCAAAGTTCGCGTTTTCAACGTGTCTGATACTTTGACTTTCCAAGTTTTACTTTGGAGCGATTTGTGTTTAACAAGACCTCTAACAACTGTAAACATTCTGCTGATTATGAATGATTGCGGTATGATTCCAAATACGTGGTTTTGATTTTCTTGGGCCCCGCAGGAGGCCAAGTTCTTAGCCCTTACCGAGTTGCTCCAGTCGCAAGTGATGGAATGGCGTCTTTTAGGTAATCAAAATTACTTCGCGCGGGTACTGTTCTAGGCGACATAAAGCTGGTCATCGCGGAATCGTTGCGAACGATACACTTAACACAATAAAAGTGCTGGGATCTATTTCTATGGACGGTTTAGGGGAGCTGAAAAGTGATACCTCGTGCTCTGTTACAATTTGTGAAATGTGCCATCAGAAGAGCGACAGTGCGTTCTTTTGTCTCATGGGCGGTAAATTTTCTCAAATCATTGCAAGACTCGAGAAAAATACCGCCGAAATAGTTGTGCAAAATGGGAAACAAACCTACCTTAGCTGAGCTGGAGGAATAAGGTGTTGATTTCTTCCTCGACTCCATGTGGTAGGTCGACTCTACGTCACGGATAACTCACAGATGATTGGCTCAGTCGCTATTAACAATAGGTTACACTTGATCAATTCAAAGATGATTGCAATCGAAGAAGTCATGTTTCGGGTTGTGAAGCAAGTTTTGGGGTGGCAGTCGATTTGATTGAAGTTTTTGAAAACCGCCTCTGAATTAGATAAAGAGAACGCAAGGATTGAGTGGAACCCATCAGATTTTTTCCTGTACTGGAAGTTTGTTAGGCGGTTAGAGGGACGTACATTTGTATACTTCACGAAATACTGCTTTTACTTTTTGACCGTTATTTGTATGATATAACTAAAACAGTGATAATGGGACTTGTAAACAAACGCATTTAGCGCCCGAATGCAGGTCGAACGTTTGTTGTTTTTTGCGAGAAATTTAGCCGTTGTCAATTCCTTCGCTGCTATGATCTTAAAAATAATCATCCCAACTAATGCTAAACTCTTCTTTGTTTGTTACTGCCGATAATGTGGTGTCTTGCATCAGAGCCATATAAAAACTAAGTTGATTTTGTTATTCATTTTCTATACTAGGTTGTGTGATAAGGTATTGAAATTGTTGGGAGAAATTACATACCAATTACTACCAGGATTGAAAGGATTAAAGTGCCCAGTGAAAATTCTCCTGTAATATGGATTGTGTTCGGTGAAACTCTATCCGTCACAGACAGTTAAAAATCCATCGCCTTTCTATCAGGGCTCTGTTTGGGCAAGTCCGTTGGCATGTTGATTGCGTTTGCTGAATTAGGCAAAACTCAAGAGGAAAGTGGTACATCTTTTAGGACTACCTGAAATTGAATTTTACGTACAGAGTGGAATTGAGGTCAAGAATAACATTTCGATTCGTGATCAGTCCACCTCTGAACAGTTTAGTTTCATGAAAGTCTTGAATTTAAAGAAAATTTGTGAAATTTATAGATCACAAAGTAAAACAACCTAATCATCGACGAACTTACCTCGCGTATCCCTTTTGTTTCCTGAACATGACAAATTCTACTATGCCAGAGTGAAGAAAGCCTCATCTAAGTCTGCGATATCGATTCCATGGGAAATCAGTTCATTAATCGACGGCCGATCATATTGTAAGCTGTCACTTACAGGATGCCAGCCATGAATTTTTACAGAGAAACTTCCTTAAAAATGAACAAAATTCTTTGTCTTCTATCAAAACGATTTACGACGTCTTTAATGGTGTTCGCCTTTTAAATGATCTTTCTTGACAATCTTCACAAAACGCTCGTGTGCCTTCTATTTCCCCGGCCATTCTTCAGTGTTCTACTCCTCTAGTGATTTTAGTGAGAAGAGGCGCTCTTTGTGTCAAGAGTTGGGCCTGCACTTGTGTTTTCCTTGTCCATTCTACCCTGTGCTGGCTTCATTGTGCATCCATCCTGGAGCGCGGTATGATATGAAGTAAGAGTATAAAAGAGTGTTGTACAACGGTACGCCGTGAACATTGTTGGCCACGGTAGAAGGAGGACAGGCAGTTTGGAAGTGGTTTGATGTTCATCAAGAACTCTAATTGAAAGTGCATTTCAACGTTTGAACTATTGTGATATTGGTAGCAGACATACCTTCTCTCTCTGTCGACTAAATGCGCTTTGTTGATATGATCTGTTGCAGTATAAAGAGCTCTTCACTCTCCGTATGCTACGGTAGGTGTCTCCACGGAGTCCAATGAGGGAACATTATATTTTGAAAGTTGCGTGAATCTTTTGAGCAGGGAAATTTTTTGTGTGTGCTGTAATACAAACTAGGGAAATAGCCCACGGGAAATATTTAATATCTGCAAGTCCAGACGTGTTCTCAAATTTGTTTACTATGACAATCAGGGAATGAGTTTGGAATGTTTTTATTCGGCATTTCAATTTGGTCGCAGAATAATTCCCGATGAAATTTCCGTTTTCATCAGGAAAATCAACTGCACATGGAAGACTCTAACGTTGTAAATACGACAGGCTGAATTTTCTATGGCTTCGTTAATATTTTGATTTTAATCTTTTGCTGTCGATGACCTCACTTGAAACTGAAAGCACCTATGATGGAATAATTTCAATAATGACTGGGCAATTATTTTTTTTGGGAGTGAACATGTAGTTCGCAATAAAAATATTAAGCAGCTACTGATCACAGCTTAAATATATTTACTGCTTTTTAGGCCTGATAGAGTATTGTTTGGCCGTGAATTAAGACTGGTGGAAAATTTTTGAGGTTAAGAGCCCTCAACCATGATGGTCATTTATGCGGAAATGACAATCAAAATGTTAATAGGTTTAGGGAAATTTTCAAAACAAATATAGTATCAGCTAATCGTAAATTATTCAACATTAAACTGAGGAGCAGATTGAGAGAAAGAAAATTTAGTAGGAAAGTTATCCGATCAGCGAAATTGATAAAGAGGTAGGTTTTTAAGACTTAGTAAGTGTTTTTGTGTTTTCAATTTAGAGTAGCTCGCTTTGTCTATAAACACTATCAATTAATTTTCAAGCCGTTCGGCGCAAGCGAGTCACACAATGCTGTTAAAACAGGATTGTTTTCATACTGTTTTGACGTCTTTGCACCTGGAAATATTTTCCCCAGGACAAGTCCCAGTCGAAAGGGAATTTTTTTTTTTTTGAATTTTGATTTTTTTTGTCTGTCTGTGAAGCGTGATTTTAATTCAATAAAACTGCCTCGTTCCCCGAACTTAAAATATAAATGACGATGGGTGAGGGAATTAGGCATTCTATAAACGGTAGACCATCAACAGCAGACCCCTGGTAGGAGTCGGGCTGGCCCGTCAACACTTTTTAGTAGGCGTAAATTAAGAGGGGATTCGCTAAAGGAGAAAGCTTACTTGTCCTAAGAACAAATCCGATGCGCTCTACGTTTACTAATAGCGTATAAAGTTTCAAAATACGTAGGAAGAGAGAATATATGATACGCGACAAAGATGAGGAGAAATATTTGTCTGGAGTTGTATGCTCCGGAAGAGAATGCACCCTTAAAAACGAAGAAAATAGCGCACAGAAGTAAATATTGCCTTTTGTAACGCAATATCGTCTGGCTTTACCTAACCTCAAGAACATACTTAGGAGGAAATGGCACCTTAATTAGAGGGCTTGAGCATCCCTCAGGGTCAACCAAAATGTACGAAAATACATTTGGTGCACATTGCACACAAGTCCCCAGCCTGTTAAATTACCAGTGTACAAACACTGTTTACAATTTTTGGTGACCGCTTAATACATGTTCAAGCAACGTATCGCAACGCCCCGTAAAAGAAAGATTTATGCTACATTCACGCGATTGCTTGACAATTTTGAATTTCGTGATCATGTCCTGTCACACAATCCATCGTCTATCGTCAGAGCTTTAAATCATGCCTTTTGACATAGCTCTGTGCGATCTTGTTTCAGTAACTTTTACTGTCATGAACCATTTCACAATAGAAGTTTTAAAACTAAAGGGACCAATAAAGCGGGGTTCATGGAGTATGAGTGACAGACTTGAATCAGTTCTACTGTAACAATATATGACTTTCTTTTACAATTGGACTGAAACACATTGTCAAGGCAACGGAAACAACGCTGGTTTGGTTATGCAACAATGTATTGGTTCAATTTTAAGAACACACGACCATGAACAAGCATTACTTTATTTGAATATTAGAAGGCTGTCAAATATAAAAAATAATCAACAGAGATATGAAAATGTTGATATCTTCCGTCAGTTGGTCCACATCGTCGTTCTCCTGAAAATATGAAATAAAAACAATGTGATAGATAGATATATTATTGGTCGGTAAGCGGGCCTTTTAGGTTACATTCGAATTAATTATTTGTTGAGTTATTCACCTGCGTTGCACGGCATTCTTCATCTTCGTAAAGATCAATCGTACAAAGGTCGTCATCTCCAATCCTGAAACGAGAAATTTTTAAAGCGACCTCCCGTTACATTTTCATCGACACGTAGATTAATTTTCACAATTTTTTTCTTTAAGATAACTTAGTTTCTACAGTCCCACTCTTATTCTAATGATTCTTGGAAGCTAGAGAACTGATTTTGCATCAGTATAATTATTTACTGAAATTTGCTTCGCTCCCAACAAGTGGCTTCGTTGCTCATTTTGGTAGTAATGCCCAATTAGTATCTGGAAGGCAGGGTTCGAATCCCGTCGTAGTTTACGAGGATTATATCTTCTTTATTTATCGTCCGCAGGTCAAAGTGTCTTTTATTTCTTTAACTTAAAGGATAATTCCATTTAAGCATGATCAGACTGAGTCACTGAAAATTTTTAAAGAAGTATAAACTGGCTGAGACGGGGGACAACGGCCATAATTCGGTTATTTCAAAAGAATCTTTTTTTCTTATTTAATGCGTATTATTTTGGGTCACATACCCAGTAGGATTGTCATCTGTACATTGTTGAATCCTTTTCCCGGATGTAGTCCATCCTGGGGGTGGGTAGTTGTCGTCGTCCTAACAAAGATAAAAACAGTTATGTTCCGTTATTGCGACGGGGTTTCGTCAGTTTCAGTGAGGGATGACACAAATCTCGAGACAGTCAGGTTTGAGATAACGTGACTTCAATGCATTTCTAGAAACGCCTAATCGAGAATTTACATCTAAGTTCATAAGGCCGATTGTGTTTTTTAAGAGTATTTATTGTTTGACACCGTGTACAATTTCGTCATGCTGTGTTCTTGCGTAACGGAATGGCGCATGTTGGAAATTTAATCGCTTGTTTCATCCGACGGATTTGAAAAGTAATAATTAAAAAAAAACTTAAGCAAAGTACAAACTTTCTTAAACACCTACTTGACTGGAATTTTCCAAGCAACTTGAAGTGTTGTTATTACTGTCTAGCAAGCGCACTCCTTGTTGATCTTCGATGGAATCTGCGTCAAGCTGAGGTATTCTAAAATGTGTACGACATAAACATTGTTTTTGATAACGAGATTCCTTTCTATATAGTCGTTTATTACCAGTGGGATAAACCAAAGCAAATAGAAGTTTTATCAGATTCCTCCACAGGAAAGAAGATGAACCCTCAAAATTTGCCTCGCTCCCAGTGTGAGGCTTGACAGCTCAGTTGGGAGTAGCGCAGCGCCCAACTAGTCGGGAGTTCAACCCTTTAACTCCCAGAGGTGATTGAGATCTAACTTCAATTTCTTTTTAATATCCATACATTATCCAGCAATTAAGGAATGAGAATACTCATGCTGATCAGGTAGATGGTGTTTTCGTAATAAAAACCAAATTCTTGTAACCAATTTATTAGGAAAATTAATGTGTGGCAGCCGAGAAGAGAATTAACAGTCAGTTTTTGGGAATTAAAGGATTAGGAAACGACGACGCTGACGCCATGGACAACGTTGGTTAAAAAAATGAACATATATTCTAGCTAGAAATCTCGTGGTACTCCAGGATCATTTAGTTTGATTCTCACTGTCAAAGCTATCTCGAAACTGATTATGGAACTTGGCGTTAAATTAGTAATTGTTATTTCACATTCACGTTCTCCAGTTTGCTCATTTCACGTTGTTGTTTTGCAGAGGACGCAAAGAAATGTACAAAGATTTGTTACGCTCGTGCACAGCCATTGTTCTGTCCATTTAACCTTTTGTTTCGTGACGTTCTCGTTTCCGTTGCCGTCGTAGTTTTCTTAAACTCCCTACTATGTGGGCAGGGGTTCGAATCCCGTCGAAACCTTAGTATTTTAGGCTTTCTTTCTACAATTGCTAAAATTGTAGCCCGCCTGCGAGGACCATGGCTTTATTTGATTTCAATCCGCTGGGCAAATGAAATTTATTTCATTACAACTTATACCAGTCGTTATGATGTCTGTGATGCCCAAAAAAGCATATTATAGCAGATATACTCACTCTTTGCCTGCTTCTTCCTCGCTAGAAGAGCTTGTATCTTCACCCTACAAATGTTCAAAAAACTAATGAAGCGTTCAATTCTTAAATCTCATCAGATTCTTTAACAAAATGTTTCTCTTCAACACCAGTTAGACCAGCACAATGCTTGCAGATTTACATTTTTTAAAATTGAGTATCTCTTGCAGCCGCACCAACCTCTGAGACAAAAATAAATGTATTTACAACAGAACTACGTTCCTTTTTAAGAGGTTTTGTTGAATTAATCTAAAATGCTTTTTATTATCATTTTTATTTGAAAGCGAGGTGATGATGGAGGTGTAACCTCACGGAATAAGTTGTTTGCGTTGGATGAATAATTTAAATACCATGGCATCATGTCAAGGATAATTGATAGTTTTACCTTCTCGTGTTTCGCTGCCATCTGAAATTAAAAAATATTCTTGTTAGAACAAACAACGATAGATCCCATTGTGCAGTAGTATAGGAAACGGTTAAACATATCTGTAATCAGCGCAAACAAGACTTTTCAAAGGATTCAGTTAGAATAAATGTAGACAGTAGTCATTAGAGAAGTTCAGTGACCATAACATACAATAATTGATGACAGTGGTCTTTAGATATTGCAGCAGTTATGTGGTTAACCTGCTGAAAAAAGGAAAAAAATTCAGTTAATACTGCGAACTTAGATAGAGCAATTTGTCATGAGTGTACTCGTGTTGTTAGCTAAATTTTAGTAATTAGTTGGAGACTGTCGCAACAGTCAGCAGTAAATGTGGAAGGAAAAACACGTCGTCAGCGTGGAAATCGGTGTGGCGCCATTCAAATCGATGAATATCCGTTTCGCAAACAAGCGTTTTAAAACATTTTCCAAACATTTGTCCTTTTAGCTAATTGTTCGACCGGAAATGGCAGATAGACTCAAACAACCTTTTATTTTGTTTTGTTCATTGTATCCTCTTTAACCCTCTGTCCCCATAAAGAGCACAGTAGGTGTTTCTGTGTTTTGGCTAGTAATATAATGATGTCAATTAAATGTGATAAGGTATTAACAAGCTGTGATTATGACCTTCACCTCCGGAAATGTGGTCTCCTTGTTTTCATGCGTTTTGATACTGCCTTAGTGGTTTATTTGTGGTATTTTGTCACTTCGACGATGATGTTTTGATGTTGTCGTTGAATTAATTGCCACGAATGCGTAATCTTGTTTATTTAATTGGAAGTGTTTTGATGTTATTTTGAGTTTTTTCCGTTACGAACTAGCGCGACACGCACGATGTGTTTGAATCGCGTGAATAAATGTTAGAAAGGTAGTAAGATGAGGAGTGAACTAGCTTGCAGGGCAGGCGTCTTATTAGTGCGAGCTAACGTTATAAGCTCGCCATTGTTATCCGACCGGCCATGTTTGCTTTGGAGTTAGAGTGGACAGTGGGGGAAGACCTTCCCCACTCTTGGTACAAATTTCTTTCTCTCCCCAGCCTTTCGCTGCCATTGAAATCAAAGATGGCGGCCATAAATTTCGTTAAGAAAATACTGAGCACTTGGTCGCTTAAATTACGCCTGTTCTGCAGGCTAGGAGTGAACCTGCTTTTCTTAAGCGTTAGGCACGTGCTGTTACAACACGGTCTAGTGGCTAATAGGTTTGGTGACGAAGGGCATATTTCAATCACTGTATAACCTTGAGTTCAATGCAAACGTGAAGGCGAATAAAGTAAACAACGAGGGAAGTTTTGAATCATCGAATGACAGAGATGTAAGACTTCATTGTAATATAATCATAGACATTAAAAAAAAAGAAAGAACCACATCGCACCTGTATTCACATTGAACTGAGAGGTTGATAGAGATAAAAACGGTGCTAAATAGCTTTCCTCCCCTTACATATCGAAATAATCAAGTCCTGTGTCTCCCTCTTTAACAAAATTTAAATAGGATAATCCTGATAATTTGGATGGTTTAGGTTCGCAGAAGAGTTACTGGAGTTGAAAACTTAAAATGATTAATAGTACCTTGGAGTTAACACGGTAAAACGTTCCTGTGTTCTATCCTAAAAGGTAAAAGGGTTCGTTCGCACAGGCGTCGACGTTTGCGAGAAGTAGAATTTCGCTTGGCCACATGGACTTGGTGCGCATGGTCTTACATATAAACCTACTACCGCTCGATCGATGGGCTCATACAGTATGCGTACATTTTACTTATCTGTATAAATAGGAAGATAAGGAAGCCAAATGCGAAATAGTCTCGAAAAGCGGCCCAGGCACTGAAATTACGGCTGTTGAAGGCTACGCACCAGTCGAGCAAACTCCTCCGCGTTGGCAGGTTGTTCATGATTTAGAGGTCTTTCATGACTCTCTTGCTTTAGGCGGTGGTGAGAACTTTTTCCCAAGCTGTGCGAATTTGAGCCGCTTCTCACCGCTCAGTAATTCTGAAGTGATTCCAGGGGATGGATGTTAGATGTTGTGATTCGGTGCATTGTGTCGTCGTTCCAGAGGGCAGGCGTAGATGAGGAGTCCAGAAAACGGACAGTATCAGTAATGATGAGTTTAGAACGTCGTCGTTATTTCTGTGGTTGAGAGTTATACTGATGTCATGTCATCATTCATTAACTTAACGCGCTTAGACCTATTATTGTCCTCTGTATTGTAAGGCGATTTTTACTGATGGATCATTTGAAGTTGAATCCTCTGTTTTAATCGATATTATTGTTTAGCTTGTCTTTGTTTGAAATCGACACGATTTAGGAGGTGTCTCAGCTTAATAAGAACAGAACCGTCCTCATTTACCGGTTGAGCTAGTAATCTTAAAGGAGAACTGAAGCCAAAAATTGAGTTAATTTCTTTCGACAGCTAAAGTGACGAAATTCTCGATTTCAGGCGTTATTCGTGCTAAATGTGTCTTACCTTAGAGAAATAATTCTTTAAGGTTTTTATTTTCGCGCTGTTTCGGCTTTCAAAACGTGGGCACCAATTTTAAATCAGCGGTCTTCCAAATGAGCCTGTGACGTATGTTATGGGGAGCACTTGAGGACGTGTTATCGTTCGGCCTAATTTTAACACAAATTGCTTTTTCGTCAACCCTTCGTCATGAGCGGAATAGAACCATTTCAGTTCGAACCAATATATCAGCCTGGAGAAGAACCTCCTCAGGAAGAGAGTGTAGAACAGGAGACAGAGGAATGCGTGGTGCTGTGACTGTTGCACTCCTCTCATGTGGTTTTTAAGCATTTTCTCTCTACAATGGTATCAAGCATTGGCTTGAGATGATAATTGCTTGTCTTCTCAAATATGGGCTTTGCCACCCATTCTTTTGTATTTTTCGGAAACACTACCTTGTATTGCAGCTCCCCTTGGTTGGCACCCCTGGATACAGTGGCTTGTTGCCAACCAGTGTTGGCATTATGGTCCAGGGCTGCCAACTGAGTTCGAGCAACCATGCCATTATAAGAGAAGTGCTGCCGTTTGGATGCATATTTGGTCTGCACACTATGATATACCTCTAAATTGCCAGTACGACAACATAGTGTTAGTTGCTGAATGTTCTTCAACAGATTTTTATCAAATACAACCTCCTTCAATGCATTATGAGCAGAGGAGCTGGGCCTAAGCCACCTTCTAGTTCTTGCTATAGCCGAAGGGATTGGTTGGCGGGCACATTCCTCATACAAGTCAGCTGAATCCCAGGAGTGGATATGGGCAGTGTGATAGACAATGGATATCCACTTCTCGTTCAACAACTCCTTGTTTCCCCCACATGTTTTGGCACACCACCAAAGATGGTTTGAGATGGATCTGATCCAGAGAGAGAGATCAGCAAATTCTTTCTTCTTTGCTTTTTCAGTTAACAACTCAGGCTTCTGTATTTGTACCTCCCTTCTTGCGTAAGCCAAGAATTTAACTCATTATAGCGAACTTATAAACTAAAGTTCAACACGAATTTCAAAATTTTATTTTCCTTTTGGACTTCTTGCGACATTGTTAACAGCTTGCGTTGTCGTACATGCCATTGCAAAATACAGACTACAAACGCGTTGCAAACTAATGTTAAAAAAGGTAAATAACAAAACCTGGGAAACAGAATGGAAGATGAAATATCTTGAATTACCAGTCTGTTAGAAAAATTAAAGTGGAGACCCTATTTCGAAAACATCGAAGTCAAGCCAAGTGTAAGAGATGCGCCGCAAATGATCTGGACATGTAACTACGTATCAGAGACACAGAGTTACGAAAGCCAAAATATTTTTCTCCTATACAATCCCTAGATAGAAGACTAATTTTCTAATATGAGAGGCGCTTGAATCTTTTTTTGCTTCACCTTGCACAATCTTTATCCCTGGAAAACCACAAATTCTTTCCCGTAAGCAAGCCGCAGTCCTGAATTCAACTTGCCTGTTTCTTGCTGTGTTTACCTTCATACCCATAACCTGCGTCACACGCTTCAAAAAGAACCGGTGACATTCGTGTTCTGAGCCGACGTACCACAGTCAAATATCGAGCCAATTATCAACAAAAACACTTCGTTTTCTGGATGAAAACTGTCGTTCGAGGAAAAAAAAATGACGGAAATTTGTTCCATCATACATAAATGTACGATACACGGTGAAAAAAATTACATGAATTCGGACTTCAGTTCTCCTTTAACTTAGAGAGAGGATGGCAGTGTCTTTCCCTATGATATGTAAAAATATCGTATGGTGTGCCCCTAGTCTAAAATGTGTGAAGATTAATACTAAAGAAGAAAATCCTATTCAGAGAAAGGCAGGTAAAACTACACTGTTTTAGCACAATCAATTTGACTTCGACAGAGTCGATAAAATCCCGATATTCTCCGGAATGATAATGTGTTACCGTTTTACCAGAAAGCTGTTGGGAAACTATCCTTTTAGTGTGCCTTAAATAAGAAGGCATGATGATGCACAGGTTTGTACACGTATAGCTAAGAACACTAAGACAGGTATCAAAAGTGTTACTGTTCCTTAATTTCTGTTACTTTAAATTTTCAGAAACGAAAGCAGAAACTTAAGTTCATGAAAATTAACGCGACGTCAATTAACGCATAATATCCAATATCGTGTCAATTTCACAGTGCGTTGATTTGGTACAAATTATTAGATATATCGTGCAATTAGATTTACTCGGTAATTCTCCAGTTTTCATTTCAACAGGTAAACTTTCTCAATCAAGTAACGGTGAAGATATCTCAAATCAACGAGGTCTTATGCTATCAAAGAAACCTCGATGAAAACATAATCAACTCTGTGGGTGACCTAAGTAATGGGTGTGTCGTACATTATCGTGTTGGTTACTTCTAAGCCATGCTGAAACTAACAATACGATACTATTTCTCTTAGAGCCCTGATCCCAGCTCGAAGAGAAACTAGATAAAATGAAATATGTTAAAACTTGGAATATTGACAGAGCAAAAAGCGAATTTAAGTGCATCCAATAAAACGATCTATCGCGTACAACAGATTGATTCAGGTTTTTAAAACAACAACATATAGCATTCTTTCCATGGCTAGCCATCTTGAGGACTGTGAATCTGCTGCATCTATCAAATGAGAAGACCAACATTAGCTTTTGAGGCAGTCAAAAAGATTCAGATTGCTCAAAAGAATCTTAAGTTGATATTTGAAGGATGTACCCTTCAAATAGACATATGGCGATTCAGAGCTCTTCAGTAAAAGTCAGGACATTCATGGCTATTAAAACTTATTCAATTGAGGATATTTAATCGCCAAAGTGGATCTCTCAATAACGTGCTCAGGTTGTCGAAATGGAAAATTTTAATTCTTGATTTTTCTAAAGTATTGAATGGAAACAGTTTTTTACGTCTTTTAATATTCTAGGCTAGAGGTTTCACCCTTTCCCCCCCCTTCCCCCACAGATATCCACACACGCACACACATGCATACAAAGGGTTCTTCTGCCAATTTAAATCGCACTAGCTGGCCAGCTTAAATGTAAGTTACGTAACTTCTGTCAAAAGCAAAAGAGCTTTCCTCAAAAGGTTGCTTTACTTGTAGTTCATGTCAATATCAATAGTAATTAATAATTATGCCCGTGGTCGTACCTGCTGGTGCTCTATATGAATCCTATTGGCTAAATTCTCCAGCCGCACTATATTGAGGATACTAAAAGATGAAAAAGTATACCTTGCGTCATTCGAATTTATTTCTTTATTGTATTCAGTAGGGCTGTGACAAACAGGAGAGGTACATCTGCCTCTCAACAACTACGTTTATCCTATTAACAAAATTGTTTAATGACTGATGTTCCTCTGTCTTACTCGTTCCAAGTTGAATGGAATGATAGGAAAAATATAGAGAGATGATTTGAGTTATTGACTCATTTGTTTTAGGCATGCAACCTTTTCAGCGTGGGCTCTTTTTTTTTTAGAAAGAGACTGATGTTGACTCCCTATTGGTGGTTCCCACCTGACAAATTTGTACTCTATTATGTAACTTACATTGAATCTTGAGGTGTTAACGTGATCTGTGTAGAAACGAAAAGAAACGAAAGGTTACAGTTACAGGTTTCCTGAACCATGACTGGACAACAGTGAACATGCTTTAAAATGTATTTGATTGCATTTCCGCAAATTTCCTTTTCCAATAAATAACTTGAATGGAGGGGACTCTTCAGAATGTTTAGTCAGCAATGGACCGCTGTAGTGTTACGTAACACAGCATGATACTACATCACAAGTGTCTTGAATTATAAAGGAGCATCGAAAAAGTAAGTTTGTGGCTGACAAATAATTGACCTAAGCTTGATTATGATGAAAATCATGTTTTGAGGTTTAGTAACTACTTTGACGTAGTGAGCCTTTGTTTTTTTCAACCAGTGCTCAGGCATATCTCTGGAAAAAGGAAGTGCACCAACCTTGCTGAATAGTAACACGTGCTGTAGTATCGCAAGAAAAAAATGTAAACCTAAAGCAAGGCTCACTGCTACTTAATGGTTACCCACCCTTGGGAAAGTTCTTTCAGCAAGACACTGGCACCTGAAAGAGAACATAAAAAATCATGTCAAGTTTTCTTTGTCTTCGAAAACTCTAGGTTGTGATGTTTTATGGGTCTTATTAATATTATTATTATTATTATTATTATTATTAGCAATATTATTATTATTACTTAAATAATCAATGTGCCCTTTGTTTCAAATAAATGGGACAACAATGTTCTATTTTCGAGATTAAAGCCACATCCTAGGCTTTACCTGTACATTTTTGAAAGCATCACTCACCTCAGGTGCAGTCTGCAACCTCTCCTAGGGTTCTGCACAGGAATGTTACCCTGTTGAGAAAATAATTTAAATAAAACTGTAATGGTCCATGCAAAGCTCAGGTAAAGAAGGAAGAATCGCTTGTATCAATCAAATTTCTCGTCTCTGCTTTGTTTGTTTTTTGGTAAGTTTTTTCCTCAATGGAAAATAACCAGTGGTAAAGTTTTACACGTCAATGCTAATGTAAAAGATATAATACTTACCAACTAAGAACACTAACACTACCACAACTGACACCATACAGATTGGTCAATAATGCATATCTATCATGTCACTGGCAGTGTCTGAAGGCAACATTAGGCTGAACCCTGTTTTCTTATTAGCTACCCGAACAGGCAAGATGGGCCCATGTTACCTGTTTGGGTTGGAGAGTGTTTGCCATGGAGTCACTAAAAGTGGTTGAAGATAGTCACAATAAAGAAAATGCAAGCGACTCATTGTTTTATTGTGCTACAAAAATGGTTGTTTTTCCTTCTCATCTCGTGAAATAAAAAAGTAATTCTTTATTCTTAATAATTATTGATCAAGCTTGTTTGGTGAAAATTGCTAGGAACCTGACTTTGTCTTGGTCCACAAAAACGCAAAAAGAATTTGGTCAATATCCAGCAATCTTGACCTCATGCTTGATCAATAATGCACATGAAATCTTTAATGAGGATTGGCTGCTGGGAGCCAGTAGCAGGGGTTGCTGTCAATTTTGCTGCTGTCCCTGTTTTTGTTTGTTTTATGCAACCTCAGAAATTGTAAGCTCAAGAAATTGAACTTCATCTCATGTTTATTCTTGATATCTCAATTTGTACCATTTCAAGATAGAATAGGCATCCAATTGTAGCCATGAAAACGCGCAATAGGCCTATATACAAAAAATCTAGAAATATGGTCTAATATCCTTTCTGGGAATTCTCCAAGAAATGTCTAGACACCTCCTATTTCTAAAAATGTCTGTATTTTTCCTCAAAATCTAGATTTGTTTTCAATGAGTTTTGGGGGTTTGAAAATACTTTTTGAAATAGTGGTGTAAGTAAAATCATGTAGATTTTTTCCATTGGTGAAAGTGATATACTGTGGCCTATGCAGAATATCAGTGTTAATTTATAAACAAAGTACTCTGTAGAAATAATTCACTTTGTTCTTTGTGTGTCCCTCAGGATTTTTACTTGTTGAAAATACACTTTGGTCTGTTTGTTTTGATTATGACTTTGATCAAGGAATTGGTTATGAGTTTAAAATTACTTTAAAATTATTTCAGAAGTGTCTGGATAAAATTGTAGATGTGCATTTGTATCAGTGAGTCTTTTCCTGACTTTGTATTACTTCCTATTCAAGTCACACAGTCAACAGTTCTTTATGTCACACAATTCACCGTTCTTTGTGTCACAATTCTGGTGTCTGTGTAACAAAGCGTGTTCATGCATGTCACAATTATTTTCATCATTTTGAAGAAAGACTGTTCAGTCACCATAGAAAAGACATTCCATTCTGTATTGAACCATGACCATACTGATAGATTTACTGTCTTTTGAGCCCTAAGAATTACTTGCATGACACAAGAATTAACTTTCTTCGTGCTGATGGATACATGTATCTTATGTGAAATTCATTGGACAAAGTCCTTGAAAAAGTTTATAGGAAACATCTCAGGTCTTGAATTAATTGGTCATTGGGTAGTGGATGGATTAAACGTAACAAAATTCTTGGAAGTCTTATGGAAACTTATTTGTAAGAAAATTTTAATGATTCATATCTAATTCGTGTACATTTGAAGTTTTAAAAAAAACCATTTGCTTATTTGTTTGGGTTTGAGTAACACGAGTCAAGTCGCAGTATATTGTATACAATATTTTGGTGAATCGTGATGTAAACCAACATTTAGTGCAAAACAAATTACTCTGGAGTTAAGGATTTACAAACATACATTCTAGGGTTTTTTAGCTTTTCCAACTGAATCTACATGTGGCATATTAAAATTACTCTAAAACTAATTCTCTAACAGTTAGCACAAGTTCTTGTAATGTTGGGATCTTGAACTTTCAAAGTTCTTCAGTGCTCTGTGTATTAAGGTGTAGAAGGAACTAAGCTCAGATGGGAAGCAGTATGTGGCTAACATTTTAGAGAATTGATGTCTAGATCTTGGGAATGAAACAGTTAACCCTTTAAATTCCAGGATCTCATTAGTAATTCATCTTCCTTTATTCTCATCATTTGTCAGCTTGATATTTCATTGATGTTGTAAGGAGACATTCTGTTTTAGTCACTCAAGGGAGTTAAAGGGTCAATAAAGAGTTACCACTCATAAACTTCATGTTTTTTCGGTGGAAAAAGCACAGGGAAACTATTGCTGGAAATGTAACCATTATCAGTCTGCCTTGTTGTTACAACTGCTGTTTGAGCAGTTTCAGAAAACTGTTAAGATCAATATTGGAAACTCAGGTCAATTTTTGCACATTGCTTTTATTTAAGAGTAAAAGATAAATATGAATGATGATATTGTGCTAAGTTTCTTTTTTTTTACTTACCATTGTAATTGATGAATCCAAAAGCCAGGAACGTATTTGTTGGCTTTCAAAGGTGACTTGTGCCAAAACTCTGCTGTTAATAAATTAATGAATTAGGAATAACAACATAGTAATGAATTTGGTCCTTTCCTCTAATACTTGACTATCTGCGGCTCCTGTGATTGCATGACATGAATTGAGCAAAGAATTTTGTCAAGAATTCTGTATGATTGCTAACAATCACAAATTACACTGTACCTTGTTAGCGAGGTAGGTGTATCATCAGCCACCTGTAAAATAAAATGTAATTCAGCTTTGAATTAAGAAGACATGTTATCTGCTGCAGCTAGAAAGGAACACTTAACCCTTTAGTTCCCAGAAATCAATAACAGTTAGAAGAAGCTATCTTGATCAAACACCAAAATCTCATAACAAAATTTACACAGAAATGTGTAGCAGCTGGAGAGGAGAATTAGTAATCTGATCTTGGGAGTTAAAGGGGGTTAAAGGTTCATTTGATAAAAGAAAAGGAAAATCAAATCATGAGATAATTTACTTCATTATAGCCAATATACTTTTTAACTTGAACTCTTGTAATATATTATGTAGATATTATCAAAAAGTACAATCTTCACTCATGCATAACTAACAGGTATTATCTTTATTAAATTTTTATCTTGATATCTAACTTGCATACTTATGTAATATCTTATTATAGGGCCCTTATGTCATCAGTTTTATTACTCTAACGTGCTTCCCCCCCTGGTATGAAGACTGATTTTCTTGTATCCCTTCCCAAGTGGAGTGAATTATGTATCTTGTTGACAATAATTTATGCATAGTACACATGTGTCCTGGTTCATGAAGCTGATGGAGAAATTATGATTCCTATTTGTAGTGAGGGCAAGTACATGTAGAAAAGTTTGGCTAAGGAGGGGAAAGATTCATAATTTAGTCAGATGAGGACTTAAATTACATATATAAGCTGGCAGTTATTAGGGAAGTTACATTTTTAAAAGACTCTTCGTACCTCCAGGTCCAATATCAGAAATTGAGAAAATGTGGTCATCTGATCATCCCTGAAAAGGAATTAAGCAGGACAGAGGTAAGTTCATGCCTTAGTTTGTTTACAGTTAACTTGGTTAAAATAGACTGTCTTGTCCCAAGTGTGATATTCCATGCATGCATGTATGAAAATCAATATAAATATTTTCATGATAGATAGTGGAAGAACATAGACATTTTTATGTCATGTGTTAGTGGTAAGAGATGGATCATTTTTGCAAGCTAGGTAAACATGTGTTGTTTGGAGGACAAACTGGGGTGCACTAGACTGCACTTATGTACTCATTTTTTTCATGTATAAGATTATAAATACATATACATTGTGTATACAACCATGGCTATCATGATTATAAATACTAGATCTGGAAAAAATTCAAAAGGTACAGTTTAAGATGCAAATATAATTGATTTCTTGCAAGGGGAACATAAAGGGGATTATAAGTTGATATAGTTTTTCTTCTGGAATGTGTAAATTGAACGCGAAGAGTTGTTCAACTTACCAATTTGTGCTCATAAACCTGTCCTGCCCCTGAAACAAACAGATGCACTGTTCATCAATGCACAGCAACGAGGGGAATAGAAGACAGAGTTTTCTTGAAATATGTGAAATTCATTGGAAAATTTATTTTACCTTCAACTGCAACTTATCGCTGTCATTAGTATGGTGTTCTCGATACACACTGATCGTTACTGCATTTAGTGCTGACAGCTGTATGACATACCCTTCTTTAAATTGCTGATAGCCACTTAAGGTTAAAGGAGTAACTCTGTCATATCCTCTTTGACCCAGTACATAATCAATATCCGAATGGGAGAAGGATCTTGGAGTTCTTTAGTTAGGTCTTACTTTCATTTTGTCCTCAACAGCCGATGATAGGTTTTGAATTTCTCGACATGAGAGATTAAACAGTTTTTTCGAAAAGCCACGTCATCACAATGTAAGAGAAGACGAAATCGAGCAAAAGTAATGGTGAATAAAACTTTTGAGCTTAAACAAAATCCTCCGAAATTTTGGACCTTGTACAAAAACATTTACACACCCGGCTGCATAAATTGCATGCGGCTAGTATGTTTCATTGTAAACGGTGAGATTTCACGAAACTACATTCACAGTGTTTAAACGTTCATGAACGTTATGCATGAATCTTAAAATATTACCTTTCTTGGAATGCAAAACAAACTTTTTATTGAAATGGCTCTGAAGTATCGATATTGGGTAAGGGTGGAAGATGCTTAGAATCATGGTCAGCGTTAAACTAATAATCATCGTGCTCTATAGCAGCACGACGGTTAGAGAGCTTTAAATGCATACACATGGTACTTACGTTTGCGTTGCTGTTAGAATTGGCCATTGTTCTTTCTCCTCCGAAAAATCTGGAGTATAACTAAAAAAGAGTTGATAGTGCTGTTAGTTTATGCAAATTCCATAATGTTCGCGTTTGCAACGTTTCAGTGATACTTTGACTCTCCAAGTTTTACTTTGGAACGATTTGTGGTAAAACAAGACCTCCAACAACAGGATACATTCTGCTGATCATGAATGATTGCGGCATGATTCCAAATTCGTGGATTAGATTTGATATCATCTGTTAGGCCCGGAGGGAGGCGACGTGCTTAACCCATACCGAGTTGGCTACAGTCGAAACTGTGTGGGCACTCTTCTAGGCGACATAATGGTGGTAATCGCAGAATCGTTACGTGCGATACTTTCAAAACCGAAGAAAGGGCCTGGATCTATTTCTAGGAACGGTTTAGGGGAGCTGAAAAAGCGATATCTCGTACTCTTGTCACAATTCGTGAAATGTGCCATCAGAAGAGTCTTCTTCGACACGTGTGCGGTGAATTTTCTCAAAGTACTGCAAGACTCGTGAAAAATACCGCCGAAATAGTGCAAAATGGGAAATAAACCTACCTCAGCTGAGCTGGAGGAAAAATGTGTTGAAATTAGGTTTGCTTTCTCCTGATAAACCTATGTGGTTGCATCATCTCGCACAATTTCATGGATCAAACTCACACGTGATTGGCTCAGTCGTAATTAACAATAGGTTATACTCTGTCTGTCAAAGATGAATGCAATCAGAGCAGCCATGTTTCGGGTTGTGAAGCAAGTTTTGGGGTGGCAGTCGATTTGATTGAAGTTTTTGAAAACCACCTCTGGATTAGATAAAGAGAAAGTGAGAAATGAGTTGAACCCATTGCATCTACAGTATCCCTTACCTTAGTTTTTGTGGTCATGCTGAAGCAATTGATGTCATGTAATGCTATGACAGTGATAATAGGATTTGTAAACAAACGCGTTTAGCGCGGCCCGAATGCACGTTGAACGTTTTTAGTTTTTTCGAGCAGTTTAGCTGTTTTGAATTCCTTCATTGCTATGATCTTAAAAATATTCATTCCAACTAACTGTTAGTGCTGAGAATGTGGTGTCTTACATCAAAACCATAATACCAAGTTGATTTTGTTAGTCATTTTCATTACCAGGTTGTCTGATAAGATGTTGAAATTGTCGGGAGAAATTATATTCCAATCACTACCAGGATTAACTTGTACAGTATAAATTTTGCGGTTAATATGGATTGTGCTCGGTAATACTCTATCCGTCACAGACAGTTAAAAATCTATCGCTTCTCTAATCAGGGCTCTCGTTAATCAAGTAGGTTGTCATGTTGATTGAGTTTTGCTGAATTAATTTTATTGGGTTTTGCTGGAAAGAGATTCATCTTTGAAGACTAACTGAAATCGAATTTTACGTACAGAGTGGAACTGAGGTCGAGAATAACATTTCTTTCCACCTCTGAATGGACTTTTATGAACGTCATGAATTTGAAGAAAATTTGTGAAATTTATAGATCACAAAGGAAAAAAGCCTAATTATCGATAAACTTGCCTTGCATCTCCCTTGAACAAAAATGAACAAATTCTTGGTCTTCCATCAAAACGATGTATGACGTCTCTAATAATGTTTACCTTTATGAGATCTTTCTTTACAATCTTCACAAAACGCTCGTGCCTCTTATATCCCCGACCATCCTTCAATGTTCCATTCCCCTAGTGATTTCAGTGAGAAGAGGCGCTCGTTTTGGTCGTGTCAAGAGTTGGGTCTGCACTTGTGTTTTCCTTGTCCATGCTGCCCTGTGCTGGCTTGATTGTACGTCCATCCTGAAGCGCGGTTATGATATGAAATAAGATTATAAAAGAGTGTTGTACGATGGTACGCCGTGAACATTGTTGGCCACGGCAAAAAGAGGACAGGTAGTTTGGAAGTGGTTTGATGTACATTAGGAACTCTAACTGAAACTACGTTCGAACCGTTGTGATATTGTCAGCAGACGTACCTTCTCTCTCTGTCGACGAAGTGCACTTTGTTGACATGATCTATTTCGGTATAAAGCACTTTTCGCTTTCCGTATGCCACGGTAGGTGTCTCCTCACAGTTCAATGAGGGAACATTGTGTTATGAAAGTTGCGTGAATCTTTTGAACAAGGAATCTTTTTTCTGTGTGTTTTAGGTAAATAGCCCACGGGGAAATATTAAGCATGTGCAAGTCCAGGCGCGTTCTCTCAAACTTGTTTACAATCGGGGAATGAGTTTGGAGTGTTTTTATCCGGCATTTCAATTTGGTAGCTATATAATTCTCGATGAAATTTCCGTTTTCATCATAAGAATTGACTGCACATGGAAGTCTATAACGTTTGAATACGATAAGCTGACTTTGCTATGGATTCCTTAGTAATTGATATAAATCTTTTGCTGTTGATGACCTCATTTGAAACTGAAAGCATTTAGGATGGGATGATTTCAATAATGACTGGGCAATTTTTTTTTCTAGAAGTGAGCATGTAGTTCACAATAAAAATATGAAGCAGCTACTGATCACAGTTTATATACATTTACTGCTCTTTAGGCATGATAAAGTACTGTTTGGCCATTAATCAGGACTGGTCGAGAATTTTTTTGAGGTTAAGAGCCGTCAACTATGATATTTATTTATGCTGAAAGCCTGAAATGACAATCAAATGTTAATAGGTTTAGGGAATTTTTTAAAGCACAAATATGTTATCATAGCTTATCGTAAATTATTCAACAGTAAACTGAGGAGCAGATTGAGCGAAACGAAAGTTTAGTGGGAAAATTAAACAATCAGAAAAATTGATAAAGAGGTAGGTTTCCTTTTAAGAATTTATAAGTTTTTTTTTATTTTCAATTTGGAGTTGCTCACTTTTTCTATAAATACTACCGATTAATTTTCAAGCCGTTTGACGCAAGCGAGTCAAACAGTGCTGTTAAAATAGGATTGCGTTCATAGTGTTTTGACATGGCTGCACTTGGAAAATCGTCTCTGGGACAAGTCCTGTCGAAAGGGAATTTTTCGTTTTGAAAACGGAAGTTTGGTCTGTCAGTGTAGCGTGATTTTAATTTGGTGAAACTACCTCATTAAAACACTTGAAATATAATTACGAGGAGATTAGGCATTCTGAAATGGCATGTAAAAATACAGACGGTAGACGGTTGACGGTATACGACGGATTGTGTGACGGTATATGATCACGAAACTCAAAATTGTCACGTGATCGCGTGAATGTGAAGTGAATCTTTCTTTCACGGGGCGTTACGTGGGCAACCGCTTAAGAAGAAAAACAAAAGGATTACAAAAAGAGCATCTTTCTGCATATTGAGCCACCTAATTTACCAAAACTTGCCTATACTACTTCTGACATGGACTAGAAGGAAGACAAAAAGATCGTGGGAAAGGAAATATATTAAAGGATCCTAGGCCCCATTTATATGTTCTCGGGTACCCGAGACAACTTTACGGAACGTTTATATGAAATTTGGCATCTGCTGACCCTCGTTTGGCCAGGTTACATACTTGACAATATGGCGGACGACAGGAAAAAATAGCTGTTAACATCCTGGTCATGGCGTGCGCACGCATTTTCTGTTCGAGTTCTCTTGTCTCGGGTCGGCGAGATACTAACGAAACGGGGTTTATGGAGTATGAGTGACAGACTTGAATCAATTTTTATTGTAACAATATATGACTTCCTTTTACAATTGGACTTAAACACATCTAGACAACGGAAACAACGCTGGTTTTGTTATACAACAATGTATTTGTTCAATTTTAAGAACAAACGACCATGCAGCTTTAATTTATGAAATTATTAGATAGAGCTCTTAGATATAAAGAAATAATCAATAAAGATATGAAAACGTTGATATCATCGGTCAGTTGGTCCACATAATCGTTCTCCTGAAAATATGAAATGATAAAAACAGTTTGACAGGTAGAAATTTTATTGGTCGGTAAGCGGGCATTTTAGGTTACATTCCAAGGAATTATTTGTTGAGTTATTCACCTGTGCAGCACGGCACTCTTCTTCTTCGCAAAGATCAATCGTACAAACATCGTCATCTCCAATCCTGTAACGGGAAATTATTAAAGTGACCTCCGGTTACATATTCATTGACACTTAGATTAATTTTCACAATTTTCTTCAAGTTAAATTGATTTCTATAGTCCTACTCGTACTCTAATGATTCTTGGAAGCTGAAAAACCGATTTCGCATCAGTATTTTGCCTCGCTCCCAAGAAGTGGCTTTTTAGCTCAGTTGGTAGTAACGCCCAACTAGTATCTGGAAGGTAGGGATTCGAATCTCGTCTTAGTCCGTGAGGATCATATATTCTTTGTTTATCATCCGCAGGTCAAAGTATTATTTATTTCATTTAACTTTAAGGATAATTCCGTTAAAGCTTTATCAGACTGAGTCACTGAAAATTTTTAAAGAAGTTTAAACTGGCTGAGAATGGAGACAATGGCCATAATTCGCTTATTTCAAGAGAATCTTTTTGTCTTCTATGATGTATACTATTTTGGATCACATGCCCAGTAGGAATGTCGTCTGTACATTGTTGGATCCTTCGTCCGGATAGAGTCCATCCTGGGGGTGGATAGTTGTCGTCGTCCTAACAAAGAAAAATCAGTCGTGTTCCGTTATTCTGACGGTGTAACGTCAATTTCAGTGCGAGATGACACAAATCTCGAGACAGTCGGGTTTGAGATAACGTGGCTTCTAAACATTTCTAGAAACGCCTCATCGAGAATTTACATCTAGGTTCATGAGGCCGATTGCGTTTTTAAGAGTATTTATTGTTCGACACGGTGTACAATTTCGTCATGCTGTGTTCTTGCGTAACGACAAGGCGCAGTTTGGAAGCTTTGATCGCTTGTTTCATTCAACGGATTCGAAAAAAATAATAATAAAAAGCTTTTGCAAAGTACAAACTTTTTCTTCAACTCTTACCTGATTAGAATTTTCCAAGCAACTTGAAGTGTTGTCTAGCAAGCGCACTTCTTGTTGATCTTCGATGGAATCTGCGTCAAGCTGAGGTATTCTAGGATGTGTACAACAGAAACATTGTTTTTGATAATGAGATGCCTTCTATTACAGTCGTTTATTACCAGTGGAATAAACCAAAGCAAATAGAAGTTTTATCAGATTCCTCTACGGGAAAGAAGAACCCTCAAAATTTGCCTCGCTCCTAGTGTGAGGCTTGGTAGCTCAGTTGAGCGTAGCACAGGGCCCAACTAGTCGGGAGTTTAACCCTTTAACTTCCAGAAGTGATTGAAACCTAACTTCTCTTTTTAATATCCATACATTATCCAGCAAACAAGGAATGAGAATACTCATGCTGATCAGGTAGATGTTTTTTTCGTGATAGAACACCAAATTCTTGCAACTGACATATTTGGAAATGTGTAGTAGCCAGAGAGGAAAATTTACAGTCAGATCTTGGGAGTTAAAGGATTAAGAAACGACGACACCGCCGCCGTGGATAACGTCGGTTAAAAAAATGAACTTATATTTTACCTAGAAATCTCGCGATACTTTAGGTTTACTTAGTTTGTTTCTTACTGTTAAAACTATCTCGACACTGATCATGGAACACAGCGTTAAATTAGAAATTGAAATTTAAAGAAATAGCCGTCGTCGTTCACGTTCTTCAGTTTGGTCATTTCACGTTGTTGTTTTGCCGAGAAATATGCAAAGATTTGTTACGCTCGTGCACAGCCATTGTTCTGCTCATTTAACCTTTTTTTTCCCTTTGCCATCGTGGTTTTCTTACACTCCCCTCCATGTGGGAGGCAGGGTTTCGAATCCCGTCAAAGCCGTAGTATTTTAGGCTTTTTTTCTGCAATTGCTAAAATTGTAGCTCGCCTGCGAGGATCATGGCTTTATTTTATTTCAATTCGTCAGGCAAATTAAATTTATTTCATTACAACTTATACCATACATTATGATGTTACGTCTTTGATGCCAGAAAAAGCATATTTAGGGAAAAGAATACGTTTACGTATCTAAACTTCTTAGGTTTACTCACTCTTTGCCTGCTTCTTCCTCGTCAGAAGAGCTTGTATCTTCACCCTACAAATGTTCAAAAAACTAATCAAGCGTTCAATTCTGTAATCTCATCAGTTTTATTTTAGAAATGTTTCTCTTTAAAACTAGTTAGACCAGCATAATGCATGGAGACATTCATTCTTCTTTAAAATTGGTTATCTCTAGCAGCCACAGCAACCTTTGAGACAAAACTAATTGTATCTACAACAGAACTAAGTACTTTCTTTAAGAGGTTGTGTTATGAATTAATCTAAAATGCTTTTTTATTTTCATTATTATTTTAAAGTTAGGAGATGATGGAGGTGTAACCTCACGGAATGAGTTGTTTGCTTTGGATGAATAATTTCAATACCATAACATCATGTCAAGGAGAATTGATTGTTTTACCTTCTCGTGTTTCGCTGCCATCTGAAATAACAAAAAAATATTCGTGTTAGAACAAACAACGATAGATCCCATTGTGCAGTATTATAGAACACGGTTAAACATATCTGTAATCAGCGCCAAAAAAAAAGGATTCAGATAGAATGAATGTAGGTAGTAGTCATTAGAGAAGTTCAGTGACCATTACATGCAATAATTTATGACAATGGTCTTCAGATATTGCCGCAGTTTTGTGGTTAACCTGACGAAATTAATACCGCGGAAATAGAGTAATTTGTCATGAGTGTACTCGTGTTGTTAGCTAAATGTTAGTAATTAGTTGGAGACTGTCGTAACCGTCAGCGGTAAATGTGAAAGTAAAAAAACATCGTCAGTGTGGAAATTGGTTTGGCGCCATTCAAATTGATGAATATTCGTTTCGCCAACAAGTGTTTTAAAACATTGTCTGAACATTTGTCCTTTTAGCTAATTGTGCGACCGGAAATGGCAGATAGACTCAAACAACCTTTTATTTTGTTTTGTTCATTGTATCCTCTTTAACCCTTTGTCCTCATAAAGAGCACAGCGGGTGTGTCTATGCTTTGGCTTGCAATATAATCACTGTTAATTTAATGCGATAAGGTATTGATAAGCTGTGATTGACCTTCATCTCCGGAAGTGTGGTCACGTTGTTTTAATGCGTTTTGATACTGTCTTGGTGGTTTATT